CCAGCGTCCACTCTTCCCTGCTGCCTGACACCCCTGACCCAGCGAATGCCTGGGGGGCTGCTTTGGGCAGTAAAGTGGGGGGGGGGCGTGGAAGGTCCCACCGACCCTGGTACTGCTCTGCCCTCGAGTACTGCTCCACACACCCGAGTACTGTTCCACACACCCGAGTACTGTTCCACAAACCCAGGTACTACTACATACATGCCAAGTACTGCTCCATAAAACCAGTACTGCCCCACACACCCAAGTACTGCTACGCATGCCCAGTACTCCTCCATATGCCTAAGTACTACAACACACACCTAAGTACTGCTACACACCTCAGCATTGCTGTCCCAAATAACCCAAATAACCAAGCACTCCTCCACATACCTGAGTACACACCCAAGTTCCACTGAATAGAGACCGCTACACAGGTCCAGCTTCTCTTACGCGGAAGACTGCACTGGACTGGATACCACTGCATAGACTCAATGACCACTGCTACACAGACCCGAGACGACTGCAGTGACCCAAGTACTGCTCTCCAGGTCATAGTAGTCTTTACTACACAGCCTTGAGTACCACCACAGACTCACAGGCAAGACCCAGACATGTCAGGAATCTTGGTGAAGAGGTAGGGGGATGTGACGGCCACCTATGGGGTTCAGTCTGGCATCATATATGTAATCTGCTTTCCCACCCCAGGGGACACAGTGATTTCGAACAAATGACTTCACCCCTCTGAGCCTCAGACACCTCATCTGTGAAATGGGGAGAGTGGCTGTCCGTACCCGAGGGTTCTGGGGAGAGCAAGGTGTGTCAGGTCGCAGCTACACACACGACTTCGTGTCGAGTAAGGGGCTTTGGTGGCGCAGCGCCCTAGCTGTAAGGCTGGCCCCATCTCCTGGAGCTGGGGGCCTGGGGGAAGCCCCTTTCCCACCTCTCGGGACCCTGTGCTCGCATCTCTGATTTGGGGTGCTGCTAGTCAAAACTTCAGCCTCGTGAGCACTGGGAAGTTCACCTGCACCGAGGTGCTTAGCAAGACACTTGACGCCTCACTTGACGCCGTGGGCTTATCAGCGACAAAGCAACAGCCTCCAGAAACTCTATGAAGCGGAGGAGGAAACTCTATTAAACTCTATGAAACGGGCCAAGGACGTGCGCTCCCTCGGTGCTCATCGGATCCTCTCCTGGCCCTTTCCCTGACATGGTGTTCTGGAGCCGCCACCCTGGCCTGAGCCGAACCCCGTGACCCACCTCGGCAAGTCTGAGCCAGGCAGAGGCCTGCTCGGGTCCTCTGGGCGCCCCGGGCTGAACAGAAGAAACCCACGATCCGGGATGACTCCATCTCCGCGTGCTGGCCCGGCCGGGCGTCTGGCTCACTCGCCAGGCCTGGAAGCTGGAATCCTTCCCAGTTACAAAAGAGGCTGGAGGTGAGGTGTCAACAGATGACTCAGCCCGAGCCGGGACACGCATTCAAACAACGATACCAAACAAGCCCAGAGACAGCTCTGACACTCTCGGGAGCACTGCCTCGTGGGCCTCTCCCTGCGGCTGTGGCTTTGTCCTCTGACAGATGATGTAGCAGGTCTGGGGAGGCCTGGGGTCAGGGCCACTGACTGGCCTAGCCGGCGCTGCTCACACCTTGGCAGCCAGTCAGGCCTCCCGGCAGCCCACCACCCCTCTGGCTCTTCAAGGCTGCACCTGTCGGCCCCCCAAAGGGGCTCCACGTTACTCTGCATACATTTGTGATCACGCGTGCGTGCTTGTGTGCGCATGTGTGTGCGCGTGTGTGTGTGTGTGCATGTGTGCATGAACAGAGCCTTCATCTTCACCTTCTGAATCCATGGGGTAGGACCAGGGACACCCCCCAGATTCCCCAGTGTCCCCGTCCCCCACCTCCACATGGGGTGAGCACTGTCTCGCACAGGGAAGCAACAGACCCAGGCTGGGAAACCACCCCCTGGGCAGCAGGCTGCCAGACAATTCCCCCCCGCCCACACACACACACACACACACACAAACACACAACACTGGTCCACGCGCTAGCCCCCACACCCCGCGAATCCTGCTGGATGCTTATGGATGTCGTGCTCACGAGGAATTTATTATACCTCGAACTGCCCTCAATTCGACTCAAATGCCTCTGACCTCTTACGGGATCAGTAGCGTAACTGGGTTAGGAGCGATCATCAAACTGGAGGGACTGTGTGGGGAAGGGGAAGGGGGCGAGGTGGAGGTGGGGTGGCGACATTGTCACTGACGGGGACTCAAAACGGGTGACGTTTGTCACTGGGATGTGTTAGGAGCTCGGGCTGTGAAAATCACGGGGTGGAAAAGGCGCATTCCAGGGGCCAGGATCACGCGCTGGGAAGAAGCAGGCTGAGAACGAGATCTTGGGCCCTGCCCATGGCCGGCACTGCCCTCGGGGGGCCCGGGCCACGTCTGGGTCCACCTCTGGGGGCCGATTCCCCAACAGTCAGTTCCCGAGCCTCAGGGTTGTCGCCTGCAGAGAGGGGAGCCAAGAGGACCCCCGGGCTCAGGCGTGCTCTGAGGTGGTGACCGAGAGCCTGTCCCCCAGCTGGCCAGAACTGTCCTCACTGGGGTTCCCTCGTGGACACCGTCCCCCCTGAGCAACACTACAGCAGGGCAGGGGAGGCTCAGGCTCCACCCCCGGTACTGTGCGGACCCCCAGCACTGCAGGGGCAGGTGAGCCCCGCCAAGAAAGGTTCTCACTGGGGCTGAAGAGATGGCACAGGGGGACAGTGCATCTCACACTGACCCTGGGGGACCCCTAGCACACTTGGTGCCCTGAGCCACCCCGGGGGCTGGCCCGTCCTCGGAATCACATCTGGGCTCACACTGAACCACTGGCATGAGGGCTGAGGTGTCCCTGGGGGCCTCCTGAGAACCCCTTAAGAATCCCCCCTCATAATTAACACAGGCACATACAACTCTCAATCATCAAAACGATGGGTATTTGTTTTGGGACCCCAGTGGCAATGCTCAGGGGTTCCTCCTGGCTCTGCTCTCAGGAATCACTCTGGGCAGTTTTGGGGGGACCCTACGGGATGCCAGGGATTGAACCTGGGTCAGCTGCCTGGAAGGGAAGTTGACTCCAGTTCTATTTATTTATTTTGGGGTCACACCCGGCGACGCACAAGGGTTCCTCCAGGCTCTGCACTCAGGAATTACTCCTGGAGCTGCTCAGGGGACCAGATGGGATGCTGGGAGTTGAACCTGGGTTGGCCGCGTTCAAGGCAAACTTTGCCCTACCCGCTGTGCTATCGCTCCAGCCTCCAACATTTATTTATTTATTGTTTTTTTTGCGCCAGAGGGCAGGCAGAGAGAAGCCTTCAAGTCCGGGCCCTCTCTGCACCCCCTCAGTAGAATTTGTTTCTCCTGGGGCCAAAAGATGGGACAGCGGGTAGGATGCTTGACTTACACACAGCAGACCTGGGTTCAATCCTTGGCACCCCATATGGTCCCCAAAACAACAATAATCGTCACTGTCATTGTCTTCCCGTTGTTCATCAATTTGCTCGAGTGGGCACCAGTAACGACTCCATTGTGACACTTGTTACTGTGTTTGGCATATCGAATACGTCATGGTTATCTTGCCAGGCTTTGCCGTGTGGGCAGGATACTCTCGGTAGCTTGCCAGGCTCTCCGAGAGGGGCAGAGGAATCGAACCTGGCTCGGCCGCGTGCAAGGCAAACGCCCTGCCCGCTGTGCTCCACCCCATATGGTCCCCAAAACAACAAAAATTAAAAAAAGAACTTTTCCTGGGATGACAGTGTGAGAAACACCCCTTAAATTGGCCCAGAAGCTGGACACATGGGCATGGATGAAGGGGACGGGGGCGGGCCGCGCCCCACCCAGCAAGGCTGCTGCACTGGGCTCCAGGTGAGAGCCCCGGTCAGGCTGGGGCTCCGTGTTTATCCCCAGCTGTCCCGTCCTCTGAGGCTGCGCCATGGCCGAGCGGGGCCTGGTCATCTCCGGCTGCCCCTCGCAGGGAGAGTCTGGGCGGGGCAGATGGTCAGGTCTGGAGTGGTCAGTTCTGCCACTCCTTGCCCTGGCCCGTCCTGGTGCCCGCCTGTCTGGGGCCTCGAGGGGCACCTGCTGGGGCCCAGGCCTGGTGGCAGCCTACTCCAGACACCCCACTGGCCCCACCCCGGAGGCGTGCCCTCACTCACCTGCCGGGAACGGACAGGCCCAGGAGCATGAGCCGGCCCGTCCCTCTGACACGCAGCTGCTGCGGTGTACCCAGCAGACTAGACAGAGGCCGAGTGAGCAGCTGCCCGCCTCCTGCCCTGGGGCCGGCAGGTGCCCTGAGCTGGGCTGGCCCTGGATAAAGACACGTGGCCAAATGGGCCTTGAATGGCCGTGGGAGCCCGCATGGCTGGAGTCCCTTCCTGCCGGGAGCAGCGCACACTCCTTGCTCCTCGGCGGCCGGGTGACTTCCTCGCCTTCGTCCTCATCCCCTTGCCAAGGACACAGCTGGCCCTGGCAGGGGCGTTTCTGAGTGGGAGGGATAGTGGCGACCGCTTAAGTCAACTGCAGCTGTGGCCTGGATCTGGGTGGCACTGACCTGGGCCTCACCACAGTCCCGTCCGTGCAGGCAAGGGGACCTGCTCTCTGGGGGCCCCGCGCCGGGGCGATGGTTCCCTCAGCCACCCCACAGGCAGCCCCAGGCCCGCCTGCCACATCCCCCTGACCTCGCTGGTCAACCGGCAGCTGGCGCCCCCCACGTGAGGGCGGGGACGGAGGCTCAGGGTGACGCAACTCCCGCCTCCTGCCAGCCCAGCCCGCCCCATCAGGTGTGAATGTAAGCACAGGCAGCGTCAGGCACCTTCAGTGCGCATGCGCGCGCGCACACACACACACACACACACACACACACACACACACACACGTGCGCGCGCACACACCCCTCCACTCGATAATAACTAAAGAGCTGACCCCTGAACGTACAGTCTCTCCACTTTTATTTTTCATTTTCCCCGGGGGTCCTCCCCCGCACTGATCAGGGGGTCCAGGGTCCATCCGGGGGCCTGGGCTGAGCCCTGCGGCCAGGTCTGGGGATCAGACCTGGTGCAGGGGTGCTGGGGCGGAGTGGCAGGTGACCTGGCTGGCAGTGACATGACGCGAAGCCTCACCCACTCAGGCCTGAGGTTCCCGCCCCTCGTTCTCCTTCTCTGCTCCCTTGGGTGGTCTTGCCCCTCTGTGGAGACTGAGGTGGGTCAGAGCCCAGCCTCCCTTCGAAGCAGCTGCCGTTTCGGGGGTGCAGGCGCGGGGGTGGGAACCCAGTCCGAGGGGGGCTGCCGGCACCGTGGGGGCTCTTCCTTCCTTCCTTCCACGGTCCCCCGCCCGCCTGCCAGCCGGACCCACTGTTCGCACCTCCCCTCAGGTTCGGGGGGCCGGGTCGTCTTTCTTGTAGATCTTCTCTTGCCTGCCCTCCTTCATGGCGGCGTACCTGGCCACCGTGAAGAGATAGTCGCTGAGCCTGCGGGGACAGAGACAGGCATTGGCAGGAGGCGGGTGAAATCAATGCTAACTGGGTCCTGCTCAGCTCAGCCTTTGGGGAGGAAGATCGATCACTGGCCTGGAGCACGGGGGGCGGGGAGCACAAGTTGGGCGTGATGGATGGCACCGGGGCGGCCTCCACCCCCCCAAGCGCCCGGCTCTGGCCCGGGGCTGGCCGCTGCCCCTCTCTGGGCCGTTCAGGGTGCGTGTCTGCACCCGTGGTCAGGACCAAGTGCTGCCGCCACTGTCAGAGTCGAGGGGGCACGAGGCACCGAGGCCACGGGGCAGGTGCAGGCGGGCGGGGGCTGGAGCCATGGTCTCAGCCCGGGTTCCGCAAAAGTCCTGGAGCGTTCTTCATGGCGGGGCAGCAGGGGCGGTTCTGGGCATCAGAGGACACAGAGCGACCACGGGCCACTCCTCATGCCCCGACCCAGCCATGCCAACTGACCTGTCTCCAGATACACTGGAGTTCGTGGGCATTCTAGGGGTGAGGCTGGACCAACACGGCCTTCCGCCCCCTCCCCAGGAAAACGCAACTTGGTGCCCGTGCTCCAAATACAGCTCCTTGAAGCGGACAAGTGGGCCGTGCCAGCTGACTGGGTCTACTGCCGCCCTCCAGGTGGTCACGGCCCCTCCCGGGGCCACGGGCACTCTGGGAAAGTGGGACTGGAGCCTGGTCCTTCCTTCTTCCCAGACCCCCGTCAGCGCCCCAAGACACAAGACACCAAGCCTACCCCGAAGGGCCCAGCACTGAGTCTGAGACCCCCCAGTTCAGCGGCCCCCGTGCCCCCGGCTCTCTGCTGCCCTCAGGACTCCTGCTGGACCCGCCCCCAGGCCAGCACCCCCCGCCCCTCCCCATCTCGTCCCCACAGCCTCAGAAGGGTCCTGCTCAGGAGGGCCCCGCCCAGAAGGGGCGCCCCTGGAAGCCAGCACCCCACACCCCATGCTCCTGCTCATGGTGGATGGGCCGGGACTCCCCTTCGCCCCACTGGCCCCCAGAAGGAACCGCCCGTGTCCCAGTGGGAAGGGTGACGGCACCAAGGCGCCAGGCCCTTACGCCCGCCCCTGCCCCGCCCCGTCCCCTTCCCAAACTCTCGCCCGGCCCCGGGGCCCTCGAAGGCCAGAGCCAGCAGTGAACAGGCCCAGGGTGTGGCACGGGACAGGTCCAGGCCGCTGGGGGAGGGAGGCAGGCTGAGGACGGGCCACCTCCACTGGACGGGACCCCCAAGCCCCCCTCCCTGCCCAGACCCGCAGCTGCCCCTCCCACCCAGGTTTCTCCCGGTCCCCTCCCCCTGCCCACGACGCCCTGCCTCCTCAGGGACAGGGCCCGGACCGCGCACCTGTTCAGGAACACGGCCACGTTCGCGTCCGTCTCGCCCGACTGGACAAGCGGCACCACGCTGGAAGAGGAAACGCGCCGTGAGGCCGCCGCAGGGGGCTGGGCCAACCCCCGGTCAGCATGTCCCAGCCCAGGGGAGAGGGCTGGGAGGGCGGGTGTCCGTGCTGTACCCCGTCTGCAGCTATGGCCACCCTGGGCCGGGCGTGGAGGTGTGTCCCGGCCTCCAGGGGTTAGGGTCCGTGGACCTATGTTTCCAAGGCTGCTGAGACTTGGGGCGACCTCCAGGGTCGGAAAGGTCCCCTCCACTCCGCAGCCCCGAAAGCAGATGCTTTAGAGGGGAGACTGTGGCCAACCCCATACCAGCAGCAAGCCCTGGGATGCCGTGGGTGTGAAGTTCAGCTGGTGCGAACCCCAAAACCCACCTGCAGGAACGGGGCTGCACGGCTGCGGATACTGCGAGGGTCCCGATGGCCAATGAGACCCCTGCAACCTCCCCTCCGCTCCCTGCACCTGCTCCTTCCCCTCCCCCGTGCTGACTGAGGAGGGCGCCTCCCTGTACCCTCCCCAACCCCCCCCCCACACACACACGCAGCCGTGACTCACCGCCTCTCAGCCCGCCGGCACACTGCCCGGCAGAAGTGCAGGGCCGCGCTGCTTGGGCCCCCAGACTGAAAGGAGAGAGTGGTCAGCGGGGGCCCGCGGGTGGACGGACAGACGGATGGGGCCCTACCAGATAGTCACCGGGTGCCCCTTCGGAGGACCCGGAAGACTCAGGGCTGGGGACACAGCCATGGCCACTGCGGGGAGCTCGGCCCGGGGGCAGGGTTGGGCCAGGCCTGTGGGGTCAGGGGCTCCATTCCCGGCGTCCCCCAGCCCAATGCCCTCAGAGATGGGGCCCTCGGCACCTCCCTGGCTCCTCACAGACCCCCCCGACCCCTGCAACCCTCCTGGCACTGCTGGGCTGCCTCTCTGGGGGTGACTGACACTGTTCTTTCTTTTTTTTTTCTTTCTTTCTTGCTTTTGGGTCACACCCGGCGACGCACAGGGGTTTCTCCTGGCTCTGCGCTCAGGAATTACCCCTGGCGGTGCTCAGGGGACCATACGGGATGCTGGGAATCGAACCCGGGTTGGCCGCGTGCAAGGCAAACGCCCTCCCCGCTGTGCTATCGCTCCAGCCCCCGACGCTGTTTTCAAGGCTCCGGGGGGGCTGCCTCTGGGGGGACCTACGGGCAGGATGAAGGCCGTGAGCGCAGGCAGCTGGCGGGTGTATGCGTCGATCCACTGCTCCAGCTCCTGGATGCGCCCCGCCTCGAATGCGCTGCGTTCTGGGGTGTCGAGGGGCAGACTGAGGCCCCGGGCCCCCCACAGACCACCCCCTCCACCTGAGCACCCCAAACACGGCTCCCGCCGCGTGGGCTGGAGCCGCCCCCTCCGGGTTCGAGGGGTTGGCAGATCCCCGACACACACCACCCAGGGGAGGCCTGTCACCCCCCCACCCCGGACCCTGGGGTTCGAAGAGAGAATTACTCAAGTGTGCCTCCCTGGCCGAGGAGCGCGGGGTCGCCAGGGCGGAGCCGACGTCCTGCAGCGAGCACTGGATCTGGGAAGCAACAGAGGCAGGGGCTGGGGCCGGGGAGGCCAGACCCTTCCACCAGTGGCCACCGCGGAGCCTCCAGTGAGCCTCTACTGGGCCAGCACAGACCGCTGAGAAGGGACCGGGCCCCAGGAACGGCCGAGGGACCCTCCCGCCATCAGCCCCGCGTCCCGAGCCTCTCCCCTGCAGCTGGAGGCTAGTTTCCTGCCTGCAGGATGGGACCGAGGGCGGCTGCGTGTGGGTCCCCACTTCTGGGCGGCCCCAGAGGGAGTGGGGGTCCCAGGGCCCGAGGGCTCAGGGGGGACGGGCCCGTCACTCACTTTCTGGAGCTCGTCAGCAAACGGGTGGCCTCTCTCCGTGACTATTTCCATGGCAACCCTGCAGGACAAGGACACACCGTGCCCTCACGCAGCTGCCCGGTCCGTCAGGGTGCCGGGGGCAGACGCTCCCAGGATGGCCCTCAACCCATGGCACAGACACAGACGGCAGGACCGTCACCACCGCTTGGGGCCTGCTGGGGCCTCCACCCCCTCACTCGGCCTGGCACCGCGCCTCCTCCAGCCCTGCCCAGGAGACTGGACTGACAGAGACCCAGCCGCAATGCTGGGCGCTGGACACTGGCCACCACAGGCAGGACCAGAGCAGCAGCGGTGAAAGGTCACTGCTCAGAGGGACGGAAGCGCCCTCACAATCTGGCCTTGGGCAGAGCCATAGCACAGCGAGGAGGGTGTCTGCCTCACACACGGCTGACCCGGGTTCGATTCCCAGCATCCCATAGGGTCCCCAGAGCACCGCCAGGAGTGATTCTTGATTGCAAAGCCGGGAGTAACCCTTGAGAATTTGCTGGGTGTGACCCAAAAAGATAAAAAAAAAAAAAAAAAAAAAGAAAGTCTGGCCTTAGGGAGGGCTTCCTGGAGGAGGTGGTGCTGGCTAGGCAGATATTCCTGGGCTGGGCTGGGTGGGGGGTGAGGTAAGGAAGGGCCCTGGGACTCCCCCCACCACCTCTGGCAGGGAACAGAAAGTAGGGTGTGCAGGTTTCTGGGACAAAGTGGGTGGAATGGGGGGGTGGAACGGGGGTGGGGTGGGAGGGCGGGCCTCCAGCCCTCAGGGCTACTGGGCTCTCCGCGGGACCACAGAGCGTGGAGAGGCGCCAGTAATGTCCCCATACCTGCTCGCCCGCCCCCCCACTGGCGTCTCTCCTCACCAGACCCCGACGGCCAGGGCACGGCCAGGGCACAGAGGCGCGAGGCTGAAGCAGGAGCCAGGGGCCGCCTCTGGGCACCGAGGCAGGCGGAGGGGGCGCAGGGCCGGGGGTGGGGGGAGGCTGCGCCCCGGCAGCTCCCGTCCAGCTCCAAGAGACTTCCCCGTTTGGGGCCCGCTCGCCCGCCCGCTCCCCGCGCCCCCGACTCTGGGGCTGGTGAGGGCAGAGCTGGGACCCCCTGCCCGATGCTCCCACACTCCCTGCTCACGTCAGCTGACGGGGCGGGCCCCCCTCCACTTGCACCTGCCTGCCCGGCCCTCTGCCCTCTCCGCGGCCTCCTCTGCTGCACACGGGCCCGAAAACCTCGCCTCCCCAGGCCTGGCACGCAGAGAATGTTCTGTCTGTTTCCTCTGGAGCCACAGGGCTGCAGCGATAGCACGGCGGGTAAGGCGTCTGTTTGCCTTGCACACGGCCGACGCGGCCGACCCGGGTTCGATTCCTCGGCCCCTCTCAGAGAGCCCGGCAAGCTACCGAGTGTCTCGCCCGCACCGCAAAGCCTGGCAAGCTCCCCGTGACGTATTCGATATGCCAGACACAGTAACAACAGGTCTCACCATTTGTTGTGAGGCGTTACTGGTGCCCGCTCGAGCAGATCGATGACCAACGGGAGGACAGCGCGTGACAGGGCTACTTTTGGGCCACACCTGGAGGCCCTCAGGGATGTCTCCGGGTTTTGTGCTCCGGGATCAGGCCCAGCAGTGCCCCAGGGATCACATGGGTGCTGGGGATGGATCTGCTATCGGCTGTGGTCACTGTGCTCGCTGGTGCAATCTCTCCAACCCCTTCAGAATGTGATTTATTTATTTCGGCTTTGGGGCTCACCTGGCAGGGCACAGGGGGCCATGAGGGATGCCGGGGATCAAGCCCGGGTCAGCTGCGTGCAAGGCAAGCGCCGTCCAGATGTACTACGGCTCTAACACTACGGACTAACACGTTTATTACCTGCGCCAGGCTCTGTCCTAAGGGTGAAACTTGAAACTATCTCATTCGGTCCTTGCAACGGACACGGACACGGAGGCCCCGGAGGCCGGCTGACCTGGAGCCACAAGGGCTTGTGCATCGGAAGGGAACATGCAACCGGATGAGCTGACTGCCACGACCCTCACCTGCCTGGGCACAGAAGGTCACTCGGGCCCCGGGGCCCCGCTGGCAACAGTGGCCCTCGGGGCTGGGCTTCTGCTCCTGGGACAGGCTGTGGCCTGCCAAGCGTCACCAGAGGCGTGTCACTGCCGAGGCTTCGAGACCTTCCCGATGACCCCATTTCCCTCTGCCTCAGTTTCCGGTTCCAGACCAGAGGCTCACCCCGCCCCCAGGCTCCCGGAAATATACCCGCCCCCAAAAGTCAGAACAGGTAGACCCCCATGGTGGGGTCGAGTGGGAGGGTCTTGGGGGTCGCTTTTGACCACAGCGCAACCCGGGCCTTCCCTGCCCCAGCTGCCTGCTGTGGATATCCAAGAGAACAAGACTCCCCAGGATGGACCCCCGGACCCCGCACCGTGGACTGGGCAGAGCTCTAAGCCTCTGTGGCCTGGTGTGAGCACTGCAGCATGAGCCTCCTTGCCTGAAACCCAGAAGCCAGGGAGGAGGATGGGCACAGTGACGGGGCGACTGGGCGGCGTCCACTGGAGGGCCTGTCCACCCCCCACCCCGGGCCAGTTCCTGGGGGCGGTCTGGGTCCTCAGGGCCTCACCCGCATCACAACCACCGAGGCCCACTTCCGACTCCCCCCAGGGACTCCCCCTTACCCAATGGCTGAACTCAGTTCGTCCGTCGTTCCCAGAGCTTCGAACACCTGGTCATCTTTGGGCCTCCTCTCGCCCGTGAAGGTGCTGGAGAACCCTGCGGGAGGTCGGCCTCGGTGAGGACTTGCCCCCCCCCAACATCCCGGCTCTTTCCCTGCCTCTCGCCCTCTCTCCTCCCCGCTCTCCCGGCCTACGGCTGTTCTTCAGCCACAGCTCACCCGGCCCCTCGGTCCTTCTAGAGAAAAAAAATGATCCAGATACTCAGTCACTGAAAACGCTTGGCCGCCTGGCAGTGCAGAGCAAAGCCCCAATCACCTTAAACTCTCCCCAAATCACACAACACAAGTCTTTCGAGTTCCTCTGACGGCACCGTGGCTTCAGGTGTGCATCTCCTGGCCAGCAGGACGCCAGAGACGCAGCCCTGGGGGTCCTGGCCCTAATCAGACACCGGCCCTGGGGGTCCCGGCCCCGACCAGACACTGGCCCTGGGGGTCCCAGCCCTGACCAGACACTGGCCGTGGGGGTCCCGGCCCTGACCAGACACTGGCCCTGGGGGGTCCCGGCCCTGACCAGACACTGGCCCTGGGGGTCTCAACCCTGACCAGACACTGGCCCTGGGGGTCCTGGCCCCGACCAGACACTGGCCGTGGGGGTCCCGGCCCTGACCAGACACTGGCCCTGGGGGGTCCCGGCCCTGACCAGACACTGGCCCTGGAGGTCTCAACCCTGACCAGACACTGGCCCTGGGGGGTCCCGGCCCCGACCAGACACTGGCCCTGGGGGTCCCAGCCCTGACCAGACACTGGCCCTGGGAGTCCCAGCCCTGACCAGACACTGGCCCTGGGGGGTCCCGGCCCTGACCAGACACTGGCCCTGGGGGTCTCAACCCTGACCAGACACTGGCCCTGGGGGGTCCTGGCCCTGACCAGACACTGGCCCTGGGGGTCCCGGCCCTGACCAGACACTGGCCCTGGGGGTCCCGGCCCTGACCAGACACTGGCCCTGGGGGTCCCGGCCCTGACCAGACACTGGCCCTGGGGGTCCCGGCCCTGACCAGACACTGGCCCTGGGGGTCCTGGCCCTGACCAGACACTAGCCCTGGCGGTTCTGGCCCTGACCAGACACTGGCCCTGGGGGGTCCCGGCCCTGACCAGAGACTGGCCCTGAGGATCCTGGCCCTGACCAGACACTGGCCCTGGGGTCCCAGCCCTGACCAGAGACTGGCCCTGGGGGTCCCGGGCTGCAGGGGATCAGCGCCACCTCCCCCAATTTATTACTCTCTGTACCATTTCTTTCCTTGTAGTTTATAAACATTTCCAAACATAAAACCGGCTGTTCCAAACAATTTCGAACATACTCTTTGGTAGAATGAGAGATATCTTGTGCATGCTTGAAGACTTCCGAGAATCTATCCCCAGAGAACATGTATTCGGGATCTGCATGGCTTTCAAGTTTTCAAAATCATGTCGTGTTGATACAGTGTCTTGCTGATTTCTGTGGAACATATGTTCTAGATACAATTCTCTCCTGGTTTTTCTTTAATTTTAAATTTTTACCAGTTTTGTGGAGGGACTGGGATTTCCAGTACTGTGACCAACACTTTTTCTGGCAGACACTGTTCCTACACCATGTGCCCATCATGCTCTGGATAGTTAAAGCCATCAGAGTGATATATACGGTCACTACCAGGTAATAATAAAGCATCGAGAGGAATCAATTAAAGCTGCTCTGCTCCCTCTTCTCTCCTCTCACTCCCTCTTCTTCCCACAGGACAATTCCATGTAGGTCTGAACACATGCTTATACACACACGTGCCCACTTTTATCCAACGAGTCCCCAAGGTTTGAGGTGTTCTGCATTTACAAGGCTGTACTTTTCACCACAGGATATCCACAGGTTCACTGAGATACTTTTTTTTTTTCTTTTTGGGTCACACTCGGCGATGTACAGGCTTTACTCCTGGCTCTGCACTCAGGAATCACTCCTGGAGGTGCTTGGGAGACCCTCTGGGGTGCTGGGAATCGAACCCGGGTCGGCCGCATGCAAGGCAAACGCCCTATCCGCTGTGCTATTGCTCCAGTTGCAAAAATCTGGAAGAATCGAATGAGAGTTGGCCACATTTTCCTTTTCATGTTTCATCTCACAGTCTTACCTTTGTCTCCTGTCTTGGTGTAGATCTTGGGGGCCTTAGGCGTCTTCGAGGAAGGCTGTGGCCTAGTGAAGGACAGGCAGGAAGACCTGGTGAGTGCGGACGGAAATCAGCTGGGGGCCCGCTGTCAGGAGAGCCTGCAGCCCGCAGCCTCTGAAAACACGGATCCCTGGCCCCTGGGCCCCCCTGTGCTCTCTTCCCCACCATCCTCTTAGTTGGGGATGTTTTGGTACGGCTTTTTGGGCCACACTCGGTGGTGGTCAGGATTACTCCTGGCTCTGTCCTCAGGAGTAACTCTTGGCAGTGCTTGGAGGTGCATATGAGATGCTGGGGATTGAACCCGGGTCAGTTGTGTGCAAGGCAATGCTGTCCCTACTTTTCACCTTTCTAATTGGGACCATCCTCCACCCAGATCCTCCAAATTCCAGTAGGCGGGGGTCACACCCTCCAACTGGCCCCCTGGCGCTGTGTAATCCCATCAGCAGCCAAGATTCAGAGACTATAAAACCCAGCTCGCAGAAGCGCGCGGCCACATTTGCAGCCGCACAACATCTTATCATCTCATTCTTACTTTGGACAACCTGGCAGGCTACCGAATGCAACCTGCCCACACGGCAGAGTCTGGCAAACTCCCCGTGGCGTACCCGATATGCCAAATACCAGTAACAAAGAAGGGTCTCATTCTCCTAACTCTGAAAGAGCTTTGAATATGGCACTTAAAAAAAAAAAATCTCAGGGCTAGGACAAAGAGACGTTACTGGGGCCTGCTCGAGGCAATCGATGAATAACAGGATGGTTGTGATTGTGAATTGGGACCATAAGAAGCCAGGGATGAAGGCCACGTGGTGCCAGGGATGGAACTCGGGCTCTCACACGCTGCACCACTGAGCTGATTTTTTGGGGGAGGGAGGCAGGTCTGGGCCACACCTGGCAGTGCTGAGGCTGCTGGTGTTTCAAGGATCACAACAGGCGGTGCAGGGGATCAAAATCAGGGTCGGCCGCACGCAAGGCAAACACCTTCGCCTCTGGGCTATCTCCCCGTCCCATCCCTCTTAGTTTTTATCTCAGGGCCACAGAGGCAGTGCTCGGGGCTTCCTCCTGGCTCTGAGCTCAGGGGTCACTCCTCGTGGTGCTTGGGGGACCAAATGAGGTGCCAGGGATTGAACCCGGGTCTGCTGGGCTATTGTTCCGGCCCCATCCCTCAGCTTTAAATCCTTCGAGGACGAGCTCTGTGGCCAAAAGGACTCACCACCACTTTCCACGGGCCCTGCCCTCTACTACGCGTATGCCTTCACACATTATTTCCCACGATAATCTCCGGGATCTTCCGGCTTCCGTTTAACCACAAGAAAGACAACAGCTTCCAGGAAGGGATTCACCTCCCAGGTGACCAGAGGCGGAAAGGGTGGTCGGGCTGAGATTCAGACCCAGGACTATCTTAATCCAGATCCCCTCACCCATGGCTTTTCCCACGACACAGCCCAAACTCTTTTAAAGAAGAAAAAAATTGGGGGACACCCTCGGCCGTGCTCTGGGGTTGCTCCTGGCGGTGCTAGGGATCGAACCTGAGCTTCCTACAGGCAAAGCGAGCACCTGGCCCGCTGAGCTCTCCCTCTGACCCTTCCCCAAACTCTAAGAGCCCGGGGGCCAGAGCACAGGGCAGTGGGGAGGGCGTTTGCCTTGCACGCGGCCCACCCGGCTTCAGTCCAGGGCATCCCATAGGATCCCCCGAGCACTGCCGGGAGTGCAGAACCAGGAGGTGCAGAACCAGGAGCACCTCCGGGTGTGACCCTCCCCTCCACCCCCAAGAAAAGCCACTCTTTAGCTTCTTGGGGGGGGGGTAAGGAACGAGCCACTTGGTTTCTGGGCATCCTGAGAAAGACGGAAACTGCCAGACCAGCATTTCCAAAAGGCCACGCACTGCTCGAGCCCGTCTCTGGAGCTTTCACTGGGCCACGCCACGGTTACCCGGGGGCCCGGGGTTGGACGGGCTCCTTGCAAGGCACAGGTCCCTGGGGGCCTGGTGGTCTCGGCTGGTTCCGAGTTCTGGGCCCGGGGAGCAAGGTCCCAGGTCCAGGGTGCCCGCGGCCGCCGGACTGGGGGGTGGGGGGCACATCCGGCTGCCCAAGCCTGGCCGGGGCCCTGGACGCGGCCCCTGCGGACCGCGGGCCGGGCCCACCCCTCGGCCGCGCGGCTTCCGCGTTGCCAGGGCGACCGGCGGGGCCGCCACGTGACCTCCCGGCGGCGTGACGTCACCGGGCGCCGGTCCCGGAAGGCCGGCGGGTGTCTCGGGTGACGCTCCGGGCGGGGCACTCACCTGTCCCCGTCCTCCCCGCCCGGGGGGCCGCGGCTCTGGAAACGGGGACGCAGGAGCCCGGCGGCAACCCGGCACCCACGCGCGCCCACGCGGCCACCCAGGCGCCACGCAGCCATGCCCGTGACCCCGCGGGTTCCCGCGCCGGCCCCGCCCCCTGGCCCCGCCCCTCCCTGGCCCCGCCCCGCGCCGGCCGCGCCACCGCCGCTCCGCTCCCCATTGGCTCGCGCTCCTCGCCCCAGGGCGGGACGCTCCCCGGAACTTGCTTCCCATTGGCTCCGGCGCGCCGCGGGGCGGGGCACCCGGTGGCGACACCTATTGGCCGCCGCGCCAGCCAATCGGGGCGGGCGCTCCCGGACCGCGCGCCCCGATTGGCTGGGCCGGGGGAAGCGGCCGCCCCACGCCGAGGCTTGGGTGCCCGGGGATGGAGTCCCGGGAGCAGCTCGGACCCGGGCGGGCTGGCGCAGGGGCAGCGGCCGCGGGCCAGGGGACCTGACGTCTCGCGCTTCCTTCCAGGACGACCCGCCGGCTCGATTTGGCGCTTCGGAGGAGCTTCGGTGGGTTTTTCGCGCCGAGATCCCGGGCGGAACGCGGTCGGGGCTGGTGCGCGTCTCGGGGCTGAGTGCGTCCACCGGGGGCCTTCCGGAGGGTGGTCTGCGTCCTTCGTCAGAAGCCCCGTCTGCGCACATCCCCGGAACTTTCTAGGACTGTCCTGGAGAGGTTTGGGCCGAGGGAGCCAAAGGGAGCAGTGGAGCTATCGACACGCCGGCACAGACGAAAAGCCTGCTGGAAGGTTCTTCCCGGCTCATGACGCCCCTTGAACTTCTGCCCTTGGTAGTAGCGGAAGAACCAGCCGGATACTGTCTGCAATGCAACAAATAAGATCTGCCAGATACTGTCTTGAATGCAACAAATAAGATCTGCCAGATACTGTCTGGAATGCAACAAATAAGATCTGCTAGATACTGTGTCATTTCCCTCTGAGGGGCTACTTGATCTTCCCAGCTGCCTCTTGGGATTGTGCTCTACCTGTTCTCCTAGAAGTTAGGGGAAGTTGGAACTTGAGAGTCGTTTAGGGAATTAGCTATAATGACATCACCTGGGAGTGGGAGAGTTGGGATTTGGACCCAGGATCTTTCAGTGGGGAGGGTTGCAGAGCGCAGCCCTTGGGCACCCGAAGCAGGTGCTGCTTTTAGAAACAGTGATGGGCTTTGAACTCGGCGCTCTGGGCTCTGGCATCGAGGGACTTTGCCTCTCTCTGGTTTTCCCTTTCAGGAATCTCAGGAGCTATGTTGCCAGAAGTCCTGGTGGTGTCCGCTCCCGGGAAAGTCATCCTTCATGGAGAGCACGCCGTGGTCCACGGCAAGGTGAGAGGATGGGGCGTCACTTCTCCCCAGCCCGAACCCTGGAGGCAGAACCAGAGAGCAGGACAGAGAGGTCGTTTGCTTCCAGGGAAGGGCTTCTTGAAGATTGCAGAGGGATGAAGCCCACTGAGCAGGCTGATCCCACCTAGAGAGTGAGGTTCAGTGGGCAAGAACAGAGACATGCAGGCATCAGGAAAATGACTTCAGCCAGGTAGTCTGAGAGGTCCAAGAGCTCCTTTCACTCCTGTTACTGCTCTCCGAGGCTGAAGTTAGTGACCATGCTAGATCCAGTGGAGAAACTGAGGCATAGGAGAGGATCAGTCTCTCGGCTTCGGTCCCACACACCTTGGGTACAGCTGGGATTGGCTGTCAGTCTGTCTGAGCCCAATGTGCATGCTTTTTTTTTCCACGCCCTGTCATTTCATTTGCTCTTAAGGTGCATGCTTTGGGAAGGATGTTGATTACGAGGGTGGTGTTGTTGGTACGGATGACCGGGAAGAGATTTGGCCCAAGGGAGGCTAATAGAAGTGATGTAAACTCCTCCTTGATCAGGAGTGCTCGAATGCAGGCTCAGCGGAAGAGAGTGTCGAAGTCGATCGGCCGGGACTGCCAGAGATTGGGTGGCATCGACCTGTGTGCTAGTATTTGCCCTCTGTCCCCAGCACGCTGACGCTGATCACTTTCTCCTCTGGCAGGAGCCATGCTCCTTTGTCACTCCCCTTGGATTCTGATGGCGTTGGCCTTTGCTTCGTTCTTTTTGGCTGTCTACAGGTCGCACTGGCTATGGCATTGAACTTGAGAACGTTCCTCAGACTTCAACCCCAGAGCAACGGGACAGTGAGCCTCAACTTACCAAACATTGGCATCAACCTGGCCTGGGACATAGCCAAACTTCAGCAGCTGGACATGTGCTTCCAGGGTAAGGAGAGGGAGCAGGAACCCCGTGATGTCAGAGTGTGGTCCCAGTGCAGTCAGAGAGGGAGAGCATGGCTGGATAGTCACTCCGGCTTATTCCCAGGACACGTTGGGATGGGGCTGGGGTGGCGGGCGATGTTTCTTTTCGGACTTTATGAATTTAACTGGCTAACTTACTGAAAGCATAACACAGTGAACTGGATCTACTAGATCTGGGTGGTTGTGGCTGCATCGTCAAAGACTGGCTAAAACACAAGGTGGAAGACCACGTGGGTAGTATGATGAGACAGGGATGAAGGCTCGGCACGTTTGGAATGTATAGAGAGAGATCTGGAGAGCTGTATGGCCCACTGGTGGGGCAGGTTACCCTGGGGGGTGGGGAGCGGGGGCGGTCCTGTAGTCAGGGATTAAAGGAAAGGAGACTTACCTTCAGTAAGATGCATCGTTTTGTTTGACTTCTGTAAATTTTGCTGGAGAACCACACCTGGCAGTGCTCGGGGGCCCGTGCGGTGCCAGGGATGAAAACTAGAACCTGTCACAAGGTCTCTGCAGGGCATGAGCTCTACCCCGCGGACCAGGTCCCGGGCCCTGTTGTAACAAGGAGAATGTGGCGGCTTCCCACATTCTGTTTTTTACGCTCTGAAAATAGAACGTTCGTGATTCAAACGGATTTGGCAGGTGATAGTTTTGGGGTCTGAAAATATTTTTTTAAATGTTCTATAGTAGGTGCTGGTGAGAGAGTACAGCGGGCAAGGTGCGTGCCTTGCACTCAGCCGACTGGGGCTCGATCCCAGCACCCCTTGTGGTCCACTGAGCCCTGCCAGAGCGATACCTGAGTGCAGAGCCAGGACTGAGCCCTGGGCGCAACTGGGTGTGGCCCCCACACCAAAAAAAGTTCCATCAAAGGACCGGGAAGATACTACAGAAGGGGTTCCATCTCCAGCCCCCCAGATGGTTCCCCGAGCACCGCCAGGAGTGATTCCTGAGCACAGAGCCAGGAGTAACCTCTGAGCGCGGCGGGGTGCAGCTCCCCGATAAAAACAAAATTACAAAATGGTTCGGGTAAATTAACAGTAAAAGCATGTTTTTACCTGTGCAGATAAATCCCTGGCCCTGCCCTTTCCTTCCCGAGAGTCAGCGGTGGGGCAGGGCTGGATTTGGAAGGTTTCCCCGGGTGTTCCGAGGCGCACCCTCAGCTAAGCATCACCGTTGTGGGGGCTCTGGAGTACGTCTCAGAAAAGAGCTTCTTGGGGCCGGAGAGATAGTACAGTGGGCTGGGCACCTGCCTTGCACGCAGCTGACCTGGGTTGGATTACTGGTACTCCTTATGGTCGCCTATAGCTCCGGGAGTGATCCCTGAGCACAGAAACAGGAGTAACCTCTGAGCATCGCCATGTGTGGCCCAGAAAGAAAAAAGGAAGAGAAAAGAGCTTCTCAGACAAGCTGGGTGTTGTGTGCCCCAGATACATGGGACCCCGTAGTGAGCCCCAAAAGGTTCTCTGCCGTCCACCTGTCGCATGTGCATGCCATCCTCAGGGATGGGAGCGGCCAGGTGTGGGGCCCGGTTTGGTCCACTTCCCACGCCCCGTGGGGGCCCCACTTAGCCGTTGGAGCCGCTCTGAGCGGCCGTGCTGCCTGGGAAGGGAGTTCAGAGCGTCTCACAGGACCGGGGAAGGGCGTCGGGCTCGGGTGCAGGGCAGGACTTGCGGGGACTTGTTGATCCTGCGAGACCGAGGCCAGCCACACCTGCCGGAGCCCTGGGCTCTGCTGGGCGGCATGGATCTGCAGTCTTTTCTCGGGGCTCGGCCCTTCCCTCCAAGGCCTGGGCAGTGGGTGGTCCCTGGCACGTCTGTCTGAGAGCCACACACTGAACTGTCGCCTTCCGTCTGCTTGCTTAGAGTTCTCCAGCCTTGGGGCCAGAGCGACAGTAGAGCAGGGTCGGCATTCGCCTTGCAGTGCGGGGCCGACCCGGGTTCGATCCCCGGCATCCCATATGGTCCCCTGAGCACCGCCAGGAGTCATTCCTAAGTGCATGAACCAGAAGTGACCCCCGAGCATCCCTGAGTGTGACCCAGAAAAAGCAAAAAAAGGGGCTGGAGCAGTAGCACAGCGGGTAGGGCGTTTGCCTTGCATGCGGCCAACCCGGGTTCGATTCCCAGCATCCCATATGGTCCCCTGAGCACCGGTAGGGGTGATTCCTGAGGGAAGAGCCAGGAGGAACCCCTGTGCATCGCTGGGCGTGACCCAAAAAGCAAAAAGAAAAAAAAATCGCCAGCCTTTCCGAGGAGCTGAGGGCCATGGTCTTTTTTGTCCCCTGTGATTAGTTGTGGATTTTGAAGGGGCCGTAGCTGGGGGTGCTGGGACTTGACCCAGGGACCTGGCCCATGCTGGGCACGTGCTTCATCACTGAGGTCCTGGCCCCCTGCCCTGGTCCAGTGCAGTCGGGTGTGTGTGTGTGTGTGTGTGTGTGTGTGTGTTTCAGTTTCCCAGGCACACCTGGCAGTGCTCAGGGATCACTCCCCGCTTGCGCTCGGCGGGGGAACCCTGAGCTGCCCAAACTGGAGCTGGGGCCTCCCACAGGCCAAGGGTGTGCTGACCATTGAGCGAACTTTGGCCTCACTGTGATCTGGCGTCCTGGATCCGGGGCCAAGTGGCCCAGCGCACACGGCAGCATAGAAGGGACTCACAGCCAGTGCCCCGGCCCCTAAGGAATAGCCCATCCTGCCCAGCGGCCACTGAAGGGCCAGGCTCCCTCGCAGACACGGCCACCGTGATCTGTGCCCTGCGCTGCAGTTTCTAGCAGACACACCCAGCGTCCCTCCCAGCTCCCTCGACTCAGGGACGTGGCTGTCGGGAGCTGGTCAGACTCGCTCTACCTCTCCGGCCTCTCAGGGGACTGGCCTGACCTCCCCTGTGCACTGCCGAGAGGCCGCCTCGCCTTGCCTGCCCGCCCCAGCAGGTCTCAGCGTTTCACTTGCACCCGGGTTGAGGATGGTGTTCAGGGAGCGGCAGACGCTGGGGGGGCAACTTGATCCTGCCCGTGCTTGTGAGGGTTTGTGGCTGGCTGGGGACTGCCGCTCCCGGCAGTGCTCAGGGCTTCCGCGTGGCTCCACGCGTGCTCGGGGATCTCTCCTGGCAGGGATCGGGGAACCCGCCCAGAACTGAACCTGGCAGCACCTTGCCCGCTGCCTTCTCTCGGCCTTGGCTTCTGGTCCTGAGTGATAGCGATCAGACTCAGACTCGGTTGAACTGGCCTTTGCTTGGCTGCGAAACTGAAACCCCTTGGTCTGTGCCAGGAACTGTGCTAAGGAATGAGTGGGTGGAATTGAAGTTGTTCTTTTTTTTTTTCTTTTCTTTTTGGGTCACACGCAGTGATGCTCAGGGGTTCCTCCTGGCTCTGCACTCAGAAATCACTCCTGGTGGTGCTCGGGGGACCATATGGGATGCTGGGGATCGAACCCGGGTTGGCCTTGGGCAAGGGAAATGCCCTCCCCGATATGCTCCAGCCCCTGAAGTTATTCTTGCTGACAGCCCCAGGGGGTCTGGGTGTGGGGGTCGCGGCCCTTCTCAGAGCGGCCAGGCTCACACTCAAGGCCACGCAGCTCCTGGGCACCTGGGCTGCAGACTCCTCCTCTGCCCAGATTCTTCCCTGTCTCTTACTCTGCTGTCTAGCAAAGCCCCCGCCGAGGCCGTGCAGGGCTGTAGCTCAATGGGAGAACCCCACGTGCTTCCCACCTGAGGTCCTGGGTTCGATCCCTGGCACCACCAAAAACAAAAACCCAAAGCCAAAGCCTTCGAGGTGTCTGAGCCCTCTCGCTTGTTTGCCCGCACGACAGAAACCGGGGACAGCTGGCCTGCGCCCAGCCCCGCGCAGGTGGAGAAGCTGAAGGAGGTGGCGGGCTTCGCCAAGACCAGTGCCGACTCCGGCCCCGACTCCGAGGCCCTGGGCGTGCTGACCTTCCTCTACCTGTACCTGTCCATCAGCCAGAAGCAGAGGTGTGTGCTGGGTGTGTGTGGGTGGGGGGGAGGAGGCAGCCCTGGGCCACCCCCAGGGGAGCGGCGGGGGTCTCTGTGCCCAAGGCCGTTGTGCTGCCCCTCTGGGCTCAGAGCCTACAGCTTCCCCTCTGCTCCCATGTGCTCCCGTGTGGTCCTCTGTATTCCTTTGTTGTCCTGTGTGCAACCATGTGGTCCCATGTGGTCTTGTATGGGCCCATGTGGTCCTGTATGGACCCGTGTGGTCCCAGTGGTCCTGTGTGGTCCCCTATGGACTCATAGGGTCCTGCCTGGTCCCCGGTGGTCCCGTGTGGTCCATTATTAATGCCCCCATCAGAGACCCCCCGTCCCCGTCCGGCCCCCGGAGAGAACAGCTCAGCTGCTCCATCATGATGACCGCTGTCACGCTGACCCTCCTGGCCTCCCCTCGCTGTCCGGCCTCTCCATTCTCTCAGAACCTGAACCAGGGAGGCTCTGTGAGGGAGTGGGGGGTCCATTCAGGGGTCTCCCTGCAGCTTCTCCCTTCGAGGCCATGCCTGCCTTTGTTCCCCGACCCAGAGGCTCCGGGTCTCCCCAGCTGCCCAGTGAAGCCCGGGTCCAGCTCAGGGCTCGCCACCCTGGTTTGGGCAGCAGGGGAAGCCAGCCGGGAGACGGCAAGTGGTGGTTGGGGCAGGGCCAGAGCCCAGCAGCCTGGGCGGCATGTGCCAGCCTGCCGAAAGGTCTGTGAAGTGGGGGGGTGCCCTGTGCTCTGAGGTCGCCCCCTCCTCCAGGGCGGGTCTGTGCCGGGTAACCGTGCGAGGAAACAGTGGCCGTGCAGAGGCCGAGGCGGTGCGGGCGCGACCCTGCTCCCGTCCCGTCCCTGCCTGTGACCACTCCCAGGGCCCCCCAGACAGAGAGGAAACATGACAGCTGCGACGGGCCCCTCGCTGCATGCGGCTCAGAGGGGCCCTCTGACTGCGAGGTTGTTTGATCTGGTTTATTTTTCCCCGGGGGCGGGGCTGGGAATCCCCCGGGAGTAGGGGGTGCCGGTGCCGGGGGCGGCACCCAGGCTCCCACACACAGTGCCTGCACCGGGCCCCGTCCTTGGAGCCGGCCCTGGCTCTTGCTCTGATTTTTGGGGGGCGGGGAGGGGAGACAGAGCCAAGGCAGAGCCTCAAGGAGCAGCCTGTCACGGGCGCCACTGGTTACGGGGGTGCTGGCCGGCAGACACCCCGAGACGTGCCTGGACACTTGCCGTCCAGCGCGGGGGTGGTCAGTGCTCATGGCCCCCTTTGCAGGGCAGGGCCAGAGCAGCAGTACAGGGGGAGGACCTTTGACCCGGGTTTGATCCCTGGTTGCTCCCCTGAGCCCCGTGAGGAGTGACCGCTGAGTGTAGATCCAGGAGTAACCCGGAGCACCACTGGGTGTGGTCTCGTTCCCCTCCCCCCCCCAGATAATGCCCTTTTGTAGGGCGGGGGGTGGGGTGAGGGGCCCCTTTCGATAGTTCTTACTTTTGCGCAGGCAGTGGTCCTGTTAGATCTCTCCCTGGGCATCGGGTCCCCCGGAAGCTGCAGGGACGCTGAACTTGCCAGCACCGCCAGCAGGAGAGGGCTGGCCAGTGGAGGACAGCCACGGGGAGGGAGCTTCCTGCAGGGTTGGGGGGGGGCGGAGGCCGGGACAAAGAGGCACCAAGCCGCCAGGCAGCGGGGTGCAGGGAGCCCGGCTGGCGTGGGAGGGAAGGAGGCGGCCCTGTCCCCTCTCCTCTCTCTCCAGGCCCCACCAGGCCCCAAGGTGCCATTGGGACGACATGGGTGTTGGGGCGTCTCCCTGGGGTTCAGGGACACGGGTCAGACGCTTGGCAGCAGCCCTGCCTGTGTCCTGGGACCCCTCCCCTCCCCTCGGCCCCCAAGGGTCACGCCCTGCTCCCTGCCACCTCGCAGGGTCCCGCCCAGCCTGGACATCACCGTGTGGTCAGAGCTGCCCCCTGGGGCTGGCCTGGGCTCCAGCGCCGCCTACTCCGTGTGCCTGGCCGCCGGGCTCCTGACCGCCTGCGGGGACATCTCCAACCCACTGAAGGCCGGGGAGACTGCCAGCAGCAGGTAACGGGGGCTGCTCCGGCACTGTGGGGGGCTCAGTGGGTGCAGGTTGGGCCATCCCCACCCGCCCTGTGCCCCTCGCTCTCTGGGGTCCGGGCGCTCTGGCTTTGGTGGAAGAAAGCCAGGCCACGTGTTGAGGGTGACGCGTGTTGAGCCGCCAGGCTGTGTCCGCCGTGCCCGCCCCGCGGCCAGCCCCACGGTCAGGGCTCGAGGGCCAGAGCCGTCCCCGACGGTGTCGGTCTGGGCTGTGTGGAGCCCAATGGGACTGTGTTGGGGGCGGGGGGCTAACAGTTCTCCTGTCTCCCACAATGGCCAGTGGGCCCAAGCCTGAATCGAGCTCTTCCTGCAGTACTGGTGTGTGTGTGTGTGTGTGTGTGTGTGTGTGTGTGTGTGTGTGCGCGCGTGTGTGCGCACGCACGCACTTGTGTGTGATTGTGTCTGTGTGTGGTGTGTATATGTGTGTGGTTGTGTGTGTGCTCTGTGTGTGATTGTCTGTGGTGTGCGTATCTGCGTGTGTGCCTGTATGTGTATGTGGTGTGTGTGTGATTGTGTCTGTGTGTATGGTTGTGTTACTGTGTGTGATTGTGTTTGTGTGTGTGGTGTATATATGTGTATGTGGTTGTGTGTGCTGTGTGTGTGATTGTGTCTGGTGTGTGTATCTGTGTGTGTGCCTGTGTGTATGTGGTGTGTGTGTGTGTGTGATTGTGTCTGTGTGTGATTGTGTCTGTGTGTGTGATTGTATATGTGTGTGTGGTTGTGTGTGTGTTGTGTGTGTGATTGTGTCTGTGGTGTATCTGTATATGTGGTGTGTGTGATTGTGTCTGTGTGTGTGGTGTGTGTCTGTGTGATTGTGTGTGTGGTGTGTGTGTGTGATTGTGTGTGTGGTGTGTGTATTTGTGTGTCGTGTGTGTGTCTGTCTGTGTGTCTATGTGGTGTGTATGTATGATTGTGTCTGTGTGGTGTGTCTCTGTGTGCCTGTGTGTGTGTGTGTTTGTGGTGTGTGGCAGGGGTGGGGGCTCTAGGTGACAGGGGACAGGAACTGGCAGCCCTCGGCGCCCTCTCTGCTGTTCCCCTCTCTCGGGTTCCAGGGCTCAGCCAACCCCTTTGCCTTTCGCGGGGCCCCAGCCCGGCCCGTGGCCCCTGCCCTCTGCTGCCCGGGGGCCCCCGCCTGAAGGCTCGTGTCCATGTCCTGCAGGTGGACCCCGGAGGAGCTGGAGCTGGTCAACAAGTGGGCCTTCCAGGGCGAGCGGGTGATCCACGGGAACCCCTCCGGCGTGGACAACGCTGTCAGCACATGGGGTAGGTGCCGCTTCTGCGCGCCACGCCGCACTCCCGTTCGCTGGGAATGTCTGTCTGTCTGTCTGTTTTGGAGCGTGCCCAGGGGCGCCCCTCTGGAACTCAGGTGTGGGGGGTCTTGGCTGGGGGGGCTCTCCGTGTGCTCCCGGGCAGGCAGGGGGGCAGGGTCTGTCCACCCAGGCTGCAGAGCTCGGACCTGGCGAGCGTGACTCTGCCCCCGTTGGGGTGCTGGCCCATCGCCCCATCACACCCAGAGTTCCAGGGCACCTTCCCCCGTGGAGTGCCGTGGGGTGGGGTGGGGTGGGGTGGGGGGAAGCCGGACACCCCCAACAGTGCAGAGTCCTGGTTTTCAACCTCTGGGTGCCGGTCCACAGGGAGAAAAGGCCGAGAGCCTCTGGTTTACTGCAGTGGCTTTATTGTTACTCAGAGTGGAAAATGATAATTTACTCCCTTTTTTTTTTTGAGACAAACGTGGAGGTGCTTTGGGGTCCAACCCTAAATCAGAGCTCAGGGTTTGCTCCGGGTGGTGCCACGGGATGGATCCTGGGCAGCTGCATCCAAGTCTACACTAGGCCTGGGGCCCTAGCGCAGCGGGGAGGGTGTTGGCCTTGCGGCCGACCCGGGTTCGATTCCCAGCATCCCATGGGGTCCCCCGAGCACCGCCAGGAGTGATTCCCGAGTGCAGAGCCAGGAGGAGCCCCTGTGCATTGCTGGGTGTGACCCCCCCCCAAAAAAAACCAAGTTTACACTTGGCGAATGGAGCATCTCTCCGGCCCCCTGCTTGGGCAGAGGCAGCCGCTTCCCCTCAGCCCTGACATGCCGTCTTCATTTTCTCCCTCCCCAGGCGGTGCTCTCCAGTACCAGCAAGGGAAGGTGGCTTCCATAAAGAGGTAATTCTGGGGTGGGCTGGGGCGCAGGTGGGGGTGGCCCACATGGGGCACGGGGGTGATACGGGAGAGGGAGCCCTGCTCTTTGCCTGGGTGGACCCTGCAGGTGGGCAGCGGGCCCTGTCCACGCCCAGGGGACCGTATGGTCCTACTTCCTGCCGGGTCCCTGAGTTTCCCAAGGCCCCGGCCACCTCCTGGGGCCTGGAGGTGGCGGGACCCTGCAAAGCTGGCACCCCAGGGAGCAGTGGACAGGAGGCCTGGGAAGAGGGGGGATGGGGGGGAATGCCCCACATACTCAGCCCACAGAGGGGCCCTTCCCTCCCCCGCGCCCCCCCAGACCCCACTTGGAGCCCCCCACCCGCTGGGAATATAAAGGCATCGTTAGCAGAGTGGACCCGGCCTGGCCTCCTGGCTTGTCTTTAGGAGGAAGAGAAAAGGCAGACAGGATGTTCATCTTTTGTTCGTCGATTGCCTCGAGCAGGCCCCAGTAACGTCTCTTTCCTCCTAGCCCTGAGACTTTTTAAAAAGTGCCGTATTCAAGGCTCTTTCAGGGTTAGGAGAATGAGACCCTTCATTGTTACTGGTATTTGGCATATCGGGTACGCCACGGGGAGTTTGCCAGACTCTGCTGTGTGGGCAGGTTACATTCGGTAGCCTGCCAGTTTGTCCAAAATAAGAATGAGATAATAAGATGTCGTGTGGCCGCGAATGTGGCCCGTGGTTCTGGGAGCTGGGTTTTATAGTCTCTGAGTCTTGGCCGTTGATGGGATTACACGGCGCCAGGCGGCCAGTTGGTGGGTGTGACCCCGGCCTACTGGAATTTGGAGGATCTGGGTGGAGGATGCTCAGCCCCGATCCAAGCAGGCTTGGAGATCTCAGCCCCAGGACCTGCACGCCTTTGTTCCTCTGCCGGTACCTTCATGCGTGTGGAGAGTGGCCTTTAGGAGGAAGAGAAAAGCCAGACAGGATGTTCATCTTTTGTAAAGTTAAAAGAGAAAAGAGGAAAAGACTAAAAGAAAGGAAGGAAAGAGAGAGAAAGGAGGAAGAGAGGGAGAAAGGAAAAGAGAAGACAGGAAAGAAAACCAAGCACCACCTCCAGCACTGAGAATCCGTATCAAGTTCATGGGCTCCCGGGTGGGGCTGGGGCCTCCTGGCCGCCTCGTCCAGCCCATCGGAGTGTCCGCTCTCATGCTGTGGGCAGCAAGGCGCAGTGCGGGGCGGGGCCTGCAGGGCTCAATGCCACTGGGCCAGGGGCACCGTGTCCACTCCTCACTGCTACCCGTCTCCCCTGCTCTCCCCGCCTCGGGCTCTGAACGGTGGGATGACAAGAACCGGTCCTCAGAGCCAGCCGCCCCAGGGCAGTTGGGAGCCGTGGCTCCGGGGGGACGGGAGGGCTCGGGTGTCAGGGTCGCACTGAGGCAGGGCAGTGCCCAGAGGCCAGGCTGCTTTCCCTGGTCCACGCCCCTCTGCATGGCCCTTTGGTGCTTGCTTGGGGTTTTGTTTGTGTGTTTGCTTGTTTCTGAGGGGGGGCGCACTCCTGGCAATGCTCAGGACTTACTCCCAGCTCTGTGCTCACTCCCGACTGTTCTCCGGGGACCCTGCAGTGCTGGGGAGCACTCCCGGGGCTCCTGCCTGCCAAGCTTGTGCTCAGCCCCCCACCGCCCAGGCTGTTGCTCTGTCCCCCTCACCTTTTCCCTGGCCAGGCTCCAGCCCCTTGTCCCACTAGACAGATTCTTGGCCCCCGCCCGCGCTCCTGGCAGTGGTCACTCGGAGCTTGCCACACCGCCCAGCCCACGGCCCAGGCTCCCTCCCAAGTGCTCCGCCCAGGGGAGGGGGGCAGGAACCGGGAACCAGCCAGGAGTGTGCCGGCTCTTTGCGTCCAATGTTTGTGTTCAGTGTCTGTGTCTGGTGCCTGTGTCCGATGCTTGTGTCCGACGCTCATTCTGGGGCTGCAGAGGCCAGGGCTGGGCAGGGCGGGCACGGCGCCTCTCCACAGCCGCTGTTACCTCCTGGGTCTCTGCTTCCCTCTCTGTATCAGGGTGGCACGGGGTCAGGGCTGGCTCCTGGTCCCCAGGACCCCCCCCCCGCTCCGGACCTCACCGGGGACCCCCTCCGCCCCCAGGCTGCCGGCGCTGAATGTCCTGCTGACTTACACGCGCGTGCCACGCAGCACCAAGGCCCTGGTGGCCAACGTGAGGAGCCGGCTGCTGAAGGTGCGTCTCGGCCGAGGCCCGGGTCCGGGGGCAGTGGGTGGCAGGACCGGTGGCGAGCCAGCCAGACAGCCACCCCCGCCTCCCGCCAGTTCCCGGACATCGTCACCCCCATCCTGAGCTCCATCGATGCCATTTCCCTGGAGTGCCAGCGAGTGCTGGAGGAGATGGTGGCGGACCCCACCCCTGAGCACTACGTCAGGCTGGAGGTAAGACCCAGCCCCCGGCCCCTGCGCTGACTGAGGCCTCTCCTCCCGGGCACACGGGACCTGCCCACCACTGTGGGCACACGCAGAGCAGCGGGCAGGCCGGGGCACACGTGGTGCCCGTCTGGGCCCCAAGCTTCAGCCCGGGTGACTCAGGGCCGGGGGCTGGGCTGGGCGCAGTGGAGAGCCAGGGTCAGGCTCGGGCCTGTTCAGAGTGCCCGGACACCGTGACCGTCCCCCAGAGACGCGGACACGCTGCCCCACCGGCCACCACCTTCCTGCCCTGGCCACCCCATCTGTCCAGGGTCCACCGCACTGCGCACCCCTTTGGTTCCCAAAGAGAGAAGCGTTGCTGTTTTTCTGTCTTCCGGATCTCCCAGTGGGCCCAGGGGTCACAGGGCTGCCACTGGCCGGGGCTCCGGAAGCCACGGGGTGCCTGCCCGCCAGCCCTCTGAGGCTGCTCCTGGCCCAACAGTTGCCCCTCACCCCTGCACAGGGCAAAGTCTAGTGCAGGTAGGGGCCCCAGCTGTGAATTGCTGGGGCCTGAGACCCGGGTCCGCTTCCTGGCCGTGTGGCCCCCCGAGGGCTGGGCCCCTCTCTGTCACTGGCCTGGCATCTGGGAAGCGCTGGAGAGTGCCGTCGGACCCCCGGCAGCATTGAAGGGGCAGGCAGCCCCAGCCCATGTGGCCACGGGCCACCCAGTGTCCACGGGTGCAGCAGAATTGGCTCCGTCCCATGGAGGCCCTGGGGCTCCACTCGGCCCCCACCCCCACAACTCCCTGCTTGGACCCTGTCCCAACAATCAGCTGGGCACCAGGCGGGCTTGCTGCCACCTGCCTGGGGAAGACGGCCCGCTGCTCCCAGCTCGCAGAATGGAAAACTGAGGCCGCAGGAGAGGGACTTTCCCCGGGTTTCCCAGCCAGGGAGGGAGAGCGGGGCCTGGGCTCAGGCGGATTTACACGCTCATCCTCAAGTCAACGCCTCTCTGAGGGGGCGGGGCCCATCATTCTCGAACCTTCGCCGCCCCCTCCCACCCAGCTGGCACCCCCGCCCCCAGAAACCAGGCTCAGGCCTCGTGTGTATTTCTGGCCTGGCAGCAGCCGACAGCTCAGTGCACGGTTCTCCCGCCTCACGGCCTCGTCGGGTCCTTGACAGGTTTTGGATCCGAATGTGACAGGTGTCTGGGTCTGCCGTGGCCGTGTGACACCTGGTGCCCAGGGGCCCAGCAAGGGCGCCCTCCTGTCTGCTCGTTATTCGGGGGCCCTGGGGTCGGGGGCCAGCCAGACCTGCCCGCCCCACCCGCGGGGGGCCGGGGGACCAGGTGGGCCTCCCTGACAGCTGAGTGACGGCCCCCTGGAGCCCGGCTGTGAGCTGTCAAGCCGCGGGCAGGAGGGCGGCTGCAGGGGTGAGGCGCTCCCCTCCACAGCGGGCAGACCTGCTCCCAGGCGCCCCCCGTAGCTCCGGGACCCTGCGCCAGTCACGCTCCCCTCCGAGCCTCAGTTCCCCCGATTGGAGGCCGGCTGGGGGGTGGCTGGTGGCTGCTTTACGTCCCACACTGACAAAGCAGCACAGCGGGACCCAGACCCCAGCCCCCCTTTGACCCTGGACCCCGTGTTCTTCATTTCCCAGCATCAGGGTCGATGCTGGGGGGTCACGTGGAGACCCCCACATCGATTGCAGCCCCCCGCCCTGTCCCCGGCCCCTGAGTGTGCCTGGCCAACCCGAGCACACCCATTAAGGGTGTGGGCCACTGAGCAGGGGCCACCGTTGGCTCGGTGTCCCCCAACCTCTGGGCGGCAGGAGAAGGCCGGAGCTTTTAACTGGGCAGAGGCGGGGGCGCCAGGACAGACCCTCGCTCTTTCTCCCACTGGCCTCCTTGCTCAAGGAGGTCTTGGTACCGAGACCGTCTCCCTCAGCAGGAAAGACCAGAGCTCGGCAGCGGCAGGCCTGGCTGCGCCCAGGGGCCAGCACACGGGCAGGAATCTCTTGTCTTCCCTGACTGGGGAGCGGGAGGATTTGGGCAGCCTGCCTCTCGGTCGGCCGGGAAGGGGCAGGACCCCCTTGGCGGACCCCAGTTAGCCTCGAGCCCCACCGGACACCGTGCCCTGCTCCCGGGATGGCCTGCGGGAAGGAGAGGTCTGCCCCACCCGGCAGGGAGTCGTTGGCTTCGTGGGCAGAGCCCGGGCACGCCCACTGGGGGCATCGGGCGGGTGGGGCGGGGCTGGCCCAGGGCCACCGAGGGACAGCCCGGAACCTTCCCCCCAGGAGCTCATCGACATGAACCAGCACCACCTGAACGCCCTCGGGGTGGGCCATGCCTCCCTGGACCAGCTGTGCCAGGTGACCAGCGCCCACGGGCTGCACAGCAAGCTGACCGGCGCGGGAGGCGGCGGCTGTGGCATCACACTGCTCCGGCCAGGTACGGGGGGGCGGGGGGAGGCACGGGCAGGGCTGCTGGCTGGCCGGCGGAGTCACCCCTGGGCTCTCCCTGTGAGCAGGTCTCACCTCCGCTGCGTGACCTTTGGCCAACGCTCACCAGGCGTTTGTCTCCTTCTTGGTAAAATAAGGATTTTATGAACACCTCTAGCTTATAACATGATTGCCTGGAAGGTTCGATCCCCGGCATCCCATATGGAGTGACCCCTGGGCCCAGAGCCAGGAGTCAGCGCTGAGCACAGGGCCAGGAATCAGCCCAGAGCACAGCACCAGGAGTCAGCCCTGAGCACAGCCGGATATGCCCCCCAAAACCCAAAATTAAGGAAGATGCGTCCAGGGAACCTGGTGCCGTGTGGGCCCTGTGGCCGGTGGCTGTCCTGTCGCCCCCTTTCCTGCCACGCCTCCCCCAACTCGGGCACTGCCGGGACGGTGTCACTACTTGGGACACAGCCCTGTCGCCACCTCTGGAGGGTGGCCGGTGAGGGGCACCTGAAGGTTTGGCCACTCCCTACCCCTGCACTCCTGCTCCAGGGCCTGCAGCCGTGCCCCCCACCCCAGGCAACTCCTGCCCCCCTCTCTCCTGCCCCCGTGCGGCTTTGCACGAAGCCTGTGGTGACCCCAGAGCCCGCCCTGTTCCCAGGAGCCCCCCACCCCTCCCCCTCCAGCCTGGCTCAGGTAGCATGGGACCTGGTGGGAGGGGCTCTCGCTGGGCGTGTTTGGTGCCACGCACGAATGTCACACGTGTCTGCACGCACACACACGCATGTGTACACACACGCACACACGTACGCTCCCACACACACACACACGCATGCATGCACACGCCTGGCCAGGGTGAGTGTCGTTGTTGGCCCCGCCCCCCGAGGGGGACACGGGCCCAGAGAGGGATGTCCCTTGTTGGGGTCCCGTGGCCCCTCCCCGCTGACCTGCGGCCTCCACCCCGCAGACCTGGAGCAGCCCGAGGTGGAGGCCGTCAAGCGGGCGCTGAGCAGCCACGGCTTCGACTGCTGGGAGACGATTATCGGGGGCCCCGGCGTGACCGTGCACGTGGCCGCCTCCCTGGACGCCCCGGTGCGGCAGGCTCTGGCCGGCCTGTGAGGGCCCCGCTGCCCAGGTGGCCGCGGTTGGATGAGCCGTCGTCAGGAGCGGGTGGCGTGGATGGAGCCCCCGTCCCCCTGTGACCTCAGACAGGGGCCTGCGTCCCGGGCCCCGAAAGACGCGGTCTGGATTCTTGAGCCAGCAGGCGGTGGGGCCTTTCGGGTCCCCCGAGGGGATTTTCTGGGCCTCCCCTAGGCCCGGACCCCACCCCAGCCTGCCCCCTCCTCCCCCCGGTTAGATACTCTTTTACCTCTGCGTGCCCTCTGCTTCCTCCTCCAGGAAGCCTTCCAGCCCCTTGGCGTGTGCACGCACACACCCGCATCACACTGGGATCGGCTTGAACCATCCTGCCCTTGCCTCTAGCTGAAACTGTGACCCCCAGCCAGGGACTCCACCTGGTGCTCTGCCTTCCTCCCCGCTGCAACCCAGGCCTGGCTGGTCCGGTCCCCACTCACGGCTTCCCCCAGGCTGTGGCCGAGGGCTTTGCAGACACTGGCGAAGGGGAATAAAAAGATTCTGAGTCCACAGTGGTGTGCTCCGTGTTGGGGGTGGCGTGGGGGGTTGGGGGGCGGACAGCCGAGGTCCTGGGCCCCGGCGCCCTCACGCACCCCTTCTCACCTCTTCCTGGAGGAGCCAGCCAGGAGCAGGAAGAAGAAATCTCCAGGTCAGTTTGTTGTTGGTCCCAGGCCTGGGGGGTCAGGGAAGGGAGTTTCCAGATGGCCGGGCCGGGTGCCAGGGCAGCTTCTGTTGGCTTTTCAAAAAAAGGGGCATTTTAATCCTCTTAGGCCCAGATTCCCGGCACCCGCTAATGCCCAGACTTTTGTCCGTAATGGGACCTGCTGGAAATGCCTGGAGCGGACAGTCGGGTGGGGGAGGCGGGCTCCAGTGCTACCTGGCCCTCGGCCGGCGTCCAGGCTCTTTCTGAACTGATGGGACCCCAGGGGTGGCAGGGCTGGGGGGGCCCCAGCACCCGGGGGCTGGGATTCCAGGAGTTGGTGAAAGGGCTGGTGCACTTCTCGGCGGGGCCACTAGGGGGCAGCTGGCACCTTCCCCAGCGTCCACCCCGGGGGGTGTCTGGATGGGGGGTCTCTGAGCCGTCCTCCCGGCTGGAGTCACTGCCTGGAATGGGAGGGTGGTGAGCAGGGAGCCCACCCAGCTTACAGGACAGCAGCAGCACCGCTGTGGATGCCCCGTCCACACAGCAGTGCAGACTCGTTCGTCCTGAGCTGGTGCCAACCACTTGTTTTTTGGTTTTGGTCCACACCTGGCTGTGCTCCGGGGTCACTCCTGGAGGAGGGCTCAGGGACCCTCTGGGGAGCCGGGGATGGGACCCGGGTCGGGTCGGCTGCGCACAAGACAAACACCCCGCCTGCTGCTTGTGTGTTCCTTCTATCTGGAGGTCTGGGAGCACTGTGCCCTGAGTCCAGAGACAGTCTCAGGGTTTCGCTTTTGCCCCTGCGGGACGCCCCGCGGGGCCTCAGTTTCCTCACTTGTACCACGGGGCTCCCCACACCTACTTGAGGAACTTCTGGAGGCTGCGGGTGGGGAGTGGGCCATGACAGCATCCCGAGCCAGCGTCCCCCGTCCCGTCCCCACCGCTCACAGGCCCGGCCCCGTCCTGGCGCTTGGGCAGGGGCGACTTGCTGACCTGCTCCAGGAGAGACAGGCTGGGGCGGGAGGGGAGGAAGATGGGCTGGTGTCGGGGAGGGGGGAGCGGTGGGTGTGCAGGGGAGCCCCGGGCCCTGCCCTGGGAAAGCCCCCCGTCCACCAGCGGTCAGGGGAAAGCCGGAGCTTAGCCGGGACGTCGCGCCAGGGCCTTGAAACCGATGTTTCCCGGACCCGATTTAAACACGGGGTAAGAGGGGGCCCAGTGGGCCTCCTGAGCTGGGGCCTTGGCAGAGGCCTGGGGAGAGGCCGGGGCCCCACCCCATCTCCTCCCCGGGCTGTGGGCTCCGGGGGTGAAGGCATCCCAGTCCCAGTGCCAGCGTTGGAAGCCGGCTGGGACCCGACGTGCTGTGCTACGGCTCCGGGCCAGAAGGGGGCACCCTTGCACGCACCCTCTCCTGGGGCTGTGAGGACCCCCCTTCCTGCCTTCGGGTGGGGAAAGTGAGGCTGCCTGTCGGCAGACCCCACCCAGCTCCCACCCACCCTTCGCCTCCCAGGACGGAGTGCTCCCTCTGAGAAGGGCTGGTCTTCCCTGGGAGTGGCGGGGATCTGCACGCTGCCCGGGGAGAAACCGAGGCACCGAGCGGGGAGCCTGCCCACCCTCTCCCCTGTGCATGGCAGACCTGGGATGCAGACCCAGGGTTGGCGCCTGGCTGAGGGCACAGCCTGTGGGCAGGGCCAAGGACAGGCGGCTGCACAAGGCAGGAGTCATTGGGGTTTTCTTTGACGAGGGTCCGCACCTGGGGGAGCTGGGGAGGAGGAGGAGGGTGAGGCCGGCGGGGCGGGGGATGGGGTGAGGACCTCACCCAACCTAGACACGTGCTCCCTGCGCCCGCCTCTCCCTCTCTCCGGGCGCCTCCCTCTGTCTCTCTGGCTCTGGCTCTCTCTGTCTCTCTGTTTTTGTCTCTGGCTCTGGCTCTGTCTCTGTATCTCTCTCTGATTCTGACTTTGTCTCTGTTTCTCTCTGTCTCTCTCGATCTCTCTGTCTCTGATTCTGACTCTCCCTGTCTCTGTCTTTGTCTCTGGCTCTGGCTCTCTGGCTCTCTGGATCTGTCTCTGGCTGTCTCTCTGTCTCTGTCTCTCTGCCTGTGTCTGTCTCTGTCTCCCTGTCTGCCTCTCTCTGTCTCTGTCTCTGTCTCTTTGTCTTTCTGTCTCTGTCTCTCTGTCTCTATCTCTCTTTCTCTTTGTCTCTCCCTGTTGGTCTCTCTGTCTCTATCTCTGTCTTTCTGTCTCTCTGTCTCTGTCTTCCTCTCTCTCTCTCTCCCTCCCTCTCTTGGACTGGCCACACCCAGCGGTGCTCCGGTGCTACTCCTGGCCCTGTGCTCAGAGATCACTCCTGGTGGTGTTCAGGGCACCCTCGGGGGTATCCTGGACCGCATGGGGGCAGCCTCATGTAAGGCAGTGTCTGACCCACGGCACCGTCTCTCCAGCCGGGTGCGGGCATCTCCGTGGCTCTGAGGGGGCGTGCGGGTGGAGTCCTCCTTCAGCTGAGGGCGCGAGGGGGAGTCGGCTGTGCCGTGTGAATTAGCTAAGCAGCCTCCCCTCTGGGCCTTGGCTGCTCTGGTCTCTGGGGGGTCTCTCCAGCCCCCCGACAAGGGCCCTGACCTTCCTCTACTTGGAAGGCCCGTCCCGCCTAGGGCGTCCCTCACAATCAGAGGCCAGGCAAGAGGTACAGGAACGTCGAGTGGGGCTTGGGGGACAGACCCCCTCCGTCCACTTAAAGGTTGCTTGAGGACTCCAGCTAGTTTTGGGGTCACAATGGCAGCACTCGGCTTCCTCCTGGCTCTGTGCTCGGGGATCATTCCTGGAGGGCTCGGGGGGCTGTTGGAGGTGCCGGGGTCGAGCCCAGGCCAGCTGCAGGCGAGAGGAGCCCCTTCGCTCTGCAAGATCCTTTCACTTTTGGTTCTTAGGTTTTGTTTTGGGTTTGTTTGTTTGTTAGAGGCCACACCTGGCAGTACTCAGGGGTTCCTCCTGGCCCTGCACTCAGGGATCACTCCTCGTGGTGCTTGGGGGCCCCTATGGGATGCCGGGGATCAAACCCGGATCTTCTGCGTGGCAGGCAAAAGCCCTCCCCGCTGCCGCTCTGGCCCAATCATTTTTTTTTTTTTTGCTTTTTGGGTCACACCCGGCAATGCACAGGGGTTCCTCCTGGCTCTGCACTCAGGAATTACTCCTGGCGGTGCTCAGGGGACCCTATGGGATGCTGGGAATCGAACTCAGGTCGGCCGCGTGCAAGGCAAACGCTCTACCCGCTGTGCTATCACTCCAGCCTCCTGGCCCAATCATTTTTATCTGAGAAGCCAGGTAGCTTCATTTGGGGTGACACATCCTGGTTGCTAAATACTGCCCCCTCCAAATAAAAGAAAAAAAAAACCAAATTTCTAAGAATGGTCACGTCAAGGCCAAGGCCCCTGCAGAGACGGTGCCTGCTGGTGCTGCAGCATGAGCTGGGGGGTGTGGGGCCACCCGTGGGCGCCCCCTCCCGCGCCCCACGCTGAATCTGATCACCCCGGGTGCCCCAGGAGCCGTGGCGGGAGGCCCTGCAGCACAGATGGTAGATATTTTTTTTATCGGTGTCAGCACGCCGGCTTCTTTCTGCTCTGATGAATAGATTCTGAAGAGGCAGTGACATTATTGGAGATAACAGAGGAAGCAGAAAAGGGGTCAGCGAGGAGGAGAAAAAGGCAGAGCCAGCAGATAAGGGGCGGCCGGAGGCGACGGGCCCCCCACTTCTGCTCTTGCAGACTCCCACCCCTGGAGGGGGGAGGGCGTCGGGGGGGCTGACCCAGAGCGGGCAGGGGCCCCCCCACCCCGGCATTCCTCCTCTGCAGCTCGCTGCCGCCTGGCGATTCAATTAGGCCTCCCCGCCCGGAAGGTGTCTCCTTGATCCAGTTTAACTGACGGGATTAGAGCTGTTTGGATCACACGAGCTCTCTGGCCGGTTATTGATGGAGCCCGTAGTTCCCTGCGGCCTGCATCCCTGGGGGAGGGGCACCCGCAGCCCCCCATCCCAGAGAGAGCTGGGCTCGGCACCCCCGCCCCGCGCTGTGCTGCTGGCCGGCTGTGTATGCCTGTCTCTGAGCCAGAGTTGTTGTTTTTTTCTGTTTTGCTTTTTGGGTCACACCTGGCAACGCACGGGGGTTACTCCTGGGTCTGTACTCAAGGATCACTCCTGGCAGTGCTCGGGGGACCCTGTGGGATGCTGGGAATCGAACCTGGGTTGGCCGCGTGCAAGGCAAACACCCTCCCCACGGTGCAAGATTGGGACACTCCCAGGGAGTGGCCAGCTCTCGGAGGGCAGCTGTCCTTCAAGTCCAGCACAGTGTCCGGGGACTGGAGCCACAGCACAGCGGGGAGGGCCTTGGCCTTGGACGTGGCCAACCCCGGTTCAATCCCCGGCTTCCCCCTAGCGCCCGCTGGGAGTAATTCCCAGATGTCAGCCCTGAGCATCACTGGCTGTGGTCAGAAAGAACAGCAAAACACCAAACAAGCACAGCGTGAGGCCAGCCCCGGGTTCGAGCTCTGGTTCTTTGAGTGTGGAGCGGCTGAAGGAGGAAGAAAGCAGAGGCCATGCCACACTGCGGCTCTGCTAGCCGGAGGCCCCCGCTGACCTGGCCACCGCCCTGGCCTCCGCAGCGGGGCTGCTGTGCTTCCGAGGGTCGGGCAGGCCGGGAGACGGCCCAGAGGGCTGGACACAGCCTCGGGCAAGGAGCTGGGAAGAGCCCCGAGCACTGTGGCTCATCTCCCAAAAGTGAGGGGGGGCGGGGTAAGGGTCTTGGCCAGAAGGAGGC